CCCCCCCCCCCCCCCCCCCCCCCCCCCGCGGACCTACATTCGTAGGCTTGTTTTTTTACCACACCCCGTATACCGAAGTATTCTCGTTTACGGCTCCCCCGTGGTTGTTGTCGATCTAGCTGCCTGCAGTGCTGGCTGCATCCACCAGCTTTCGCGGCGGGAGAGCAACGGCCTGCCTGCCTGAGAAGGCGATCAGCGGTGAGCCTTTACAACAAAAGAAGAGGGAAGGAGCAGGATATCCTTGGTGCTGTACCAGAAAGGAGAAAAAACGTGGGCGATCCTCCCTGACCGTGTGTACCACACACAACACAGCAGCAGCAGCAGTTTAGACATATCAGGCGCCTGCTGCTGATCACGCTCTGAGTAATGCGGGGCTACGGCTGGCTAAATATGATACGGCATTGCGCAACTGCGTAATGCCCGTGGCCTTCCGTCTGGATACTGCGAGCGACTGGAATTGGCCGAGACTGTCTCGCCTCGCTCCATCTATCTACACGTACCAACACCTCCAATTGCACACCCAAATGACACAGGCAGCTACGAGCTTCGTTGCCCGCATTACCTCATCTGCGCGAGAGGCGGCACCAGCCATGGCGAAGGAAGTCGCCAAGCTGGGCGGGATCTACTCCGTGCTGACCGAAGAAGAGGTCGAGGCATGGGTGTCATCGGAGGGAGACCCGAAGCTACCGAGCGAGAGCATTACGGCGGCGTTTCGACAGGCGGAACGCTTGTTCCCTAAGGAGCAGGACGGCGGGGAGGGCGGCGACAGCCTCGAGATCAACTACAGGGAGTGAGTGGTGGTGTGCATGCAATAGCTAGCATGCAAACATGATACTGGTGGATTTTTACGCACGGAGGGGCTGGGTGTGGGGTGCTGTCTCCTTTTGGAGATTGTTTTACACCTGCAAATCTCGCCGCTGCTCGTACAAGTACTGCATCGCCCTTGCTTGACGTCATCACCTGCGGCCGTTTTCGGCGCCATTTCCCCAGACGCAAGGTTAACTTGTTCCAGAGGGAGCAGCGCGTAGCAGCGGGGTACCTGTCTGTCACCTGGCTGCTTTTGTCCAGAGGCGGTACCGCTGTGCACGAGCTTCCCTGTTGTGTAGCACGGGACCTTGTGATCTCGGCTTGAACCTACAGTATTTGGGATGCACGCACGATTGCATAATAAATTCCAACACGTGCGTCGTAGACTTGATAGCGAATCTACATCATTTGAAGTGAAGTTAAAAAAAAACCTTCGCAGAGTTGTACACGTGCGTATCGTACATAGCCTCGTGTGCCCTATTTGGCATATATTCAATACTTGTAGATGTACAATATCCATGAACGCAGCTCTATAATCTCCAATATATGCATCCACGTAAAGGCGAGGTCCCCAATCATGTTTCCTTCCGTGCTTCTCCATTGGTGGGATCACCGATTGGTCCCTCATGACGCTTCTTGCTGGTGGCAACAGATGAGAAAACGATCCCTTCCAAATTGAGCTGTTGATCACGGTCGGTTGTATGCATGACACCGCCCTCAACTCTACCGCATAAACCTGTCCCCCTCCAACCAAGGGCCGCTGCCCGCACCCCAGAAGTCGACGTTGATATCCCTCAGTAAGCATGGCCTCCCACGCCGTGTGGTTTTCGAAGCACGCCCTGTTCAATACTCGCGCCGCGGTGTGATGACCTGCTTCCCCTGCTGGTCGGCTTGAGGTCAAGGAACACTGCTCTAATCGCATCGATGCCACCAGCCGTAAGGCCCCACACAGTTTGCCCTCTCGAAGCACTCCCATCATCCATGCCCTATCCCTCCAGTAGCCCTCGCAGTGTTTTCCTGTCAAGTAGAAACATGTGGGATAACGCGTGCCATCGGGGAAGTTGGGTGAGGGATAGGGTCTGCGCACCCCCCCCCTCTACTCTTTCCTCATGAAGTTAATTTATCGCGCAGGCATCTCTATTTCTCTGACCACCCATGCCCACGACATCCTCGGTGTCCTTTTTTCAGCATCGCGATTCCGAGGCTGTCGGAAATTCTGTCCGAGCTGGTTTGGCGTGTTGTCGGTGGCGAGCTGAGCGTCGACCTGGCCATCAGCTACCTTGCCTCTGACAAACCTTTCGCCAATCGCCTTCGGGCTAAGGAGGAGCAGAGCGGGGACAGAGAGAGGGAAGCAGGGGATGCAAAGAATGAAGTTGGTGAAGCGAAGGAGGGCGGGGATAAGGCGGAAACCGAGGATGCCGCGGAACCCTTGCCGCTTCAGGAGGCCCTCTGTGATACCGTTTGGGGTGTCGATGTTATGGTGAGCCGCCCCCCTCAGCGTCTTAATATCCCCTGCCGTCTACCATTTTTGTAGCCTTGTTTGCAGAATTTGTCTCTGCAGACGGGCACAGCAGCATGTGACGAACCGCTTCATGTAGGCTCTGGGTTGTTCGTGGTTCTCTCTCTTCTTGTGTTTTTGTGCTGCTTACGTGAGCAGCATCGACGGCGGTGCTAGCCGTCTCGTCAATAAATGCCAACAAGACGCCGGGCTTTAGCCTGCAAACATTAAAACGCTTCTGCATGTGGCTGCTGCCGTGTTTTGTGTCTTGACTTCTTGTTGCCGTGTCGTATAATAGCTGTTCTGGTGTGTTGGCCTATTTATCCTAATCCGCTTTTGGCCTCTCGTCGGGCGGCAAGAAAGCAACAGCGAAGATTGGACCGGTTTTCTAGGATCCCCGACGGGGGTGTCCTACGGCGCGAGATTCAACCTCCCTGTGCGGCTCGATGCTCCGGCAGCTTTCTGCTTGCCCATGACTGTCGCTACTACTTTCGAGCAGTGCACCGGGGCTCACGCGGCACAACATTTTTGTTTTTTTCTACCGCCTATTTGTCGTAATCGTGCTGCTCTCTGACTTCATTCCGTGTCTTGGGGGCTTGTGGAGTGGTGATGGCGGTGGGAATCGCTGTGTTCGATTGTCGTCGTCAATGCTGCTCCCTTTCGTGGCGCGTTTCGTCAACCTTGGTCCTTGGTCCCTCTCTCGGGCGTTACTCGTTGCTCTTGGTGCTCAGGTCCGAGGAACTGTCGAGGTTCTTGCCCTCGAGAAGCTGAGTCCTCTCCAGAATGAACAGTGGGGCAGGCTGTGCTCGTTCGTGCAGCGTCTGCGCGCCGACGAGCTAGTGCCTCAGAGGCTCTTGCTGGTGTTGCTGTCGGTGAGTTAAGTCCGGCCGTGCCCACCCCCCCGCGGCGGCGGATGGCAGTGCGGGACGTGCTACATGTGTCTTGGGTAAATGTGTTGATTTTTCGATTTTTCTACGGCAGAGTTCCTGTTTAGTTCCGGTATGTGCCCAGAAAATTCACCGCCACTATGCTGACCACCGGCACTGTTTAAGGCTGCTGAATGTTTACCCACTTTTTGTTTTTTTATGTCTGCATATCGCCACGAGATTGTGTGCCCTCTCCGTTCCAATGTATCCAACATATGCGGAAGGAAGTATTGGTGTTGGTTCGGCATGGACGTGAAGGCGTTGCCGTCGAAATTCACGGTTCTCTTTTTGTCTGCCGAGTTGAAAGACGAAGGCGAAGACACGGCGTTGGCATGGCACCCTGCAACACCTCTCTTGTTCTGCTTCCTCTCCCTGTTTCGTTGGACACCACTCACTACAATAGTACGATCAGGGCACCTTCGGTGACAGTTACAGCAGGGCCGTCGGGCCGGAGTGAGTGCTTGAAGATGTTTCTGGTCGATGGGTGTTCAACGCTGTGTTTCGTGTGAACCTCTGTGGAGTTTACTCGGATGTTCGAATCTGTTTGCTTTTTTTTTTTTTGCTACATGGCGGTGTCTCGTGCGGCTTCGGGGTTCATTATCGTGTCTCCAACGCTGTTTTTCTGCCGCACTTGCATATCATCGCTCGTATCTTCCCTGCTGTTTTTTTTGTTTGTTTGCTGCCTGCGGTTTCGCCAGGACGAACTGTTGGTAGGCTCCAAGATGGTGGCAGCACCGACGACGGTGAAGGGCGGCAAACAAATCACGCCCCTGGCACGGTCTATGCTCAAGGTCAGTCCAGTCGGTCATGGCTCTCAACACCTCAATCCCACTTCCTCTTTTTAGCGGCGGTGTATGCGTGTGCGGTGGTGGAGTGTGCTTGTTGCCATGACCATTCGGATGTTTATGGGTAGGGATAGGTAGCCTTGAACCGGCTGTCTCTTGTATTAGTATCCCTGGCCCCGGAGTGCTGCATCGTACAATACTTGAGATGAGAAAGGTGCGACGAGGGTGTGATTTATGGGCGGGATTTAGTGCACAACCTGATACTCCAACCTTACCCTTACCCCCGGTCCTGACTGCGACATAGCCCTTGAGTGAGAGGAGCAGAGACGCCGTACTCGGAGGGCGGGGGGTTGGTTCTGCAGCCCGTTTTTGTCAATGATGTGTCAACCCTACCCCTTGCCCTGACTGCCGCATCGATCGCGCGGAGAGCAGAAAGGAACGGAAATGGTGTACAAGCAACACCGCTTCAACCTGCAGCGGGAGGAGACGGAGGGGTTCGCCAAGCTGCTGGTCCTCCTGGCGGGGGTTCGAGACAGTGGCAACGGGAGAGGCAACGCCGGCGCGGATTCAGAAGAGAACATGCGACGACTTATCGGATATTTCGACCTGGATCCAAACAGGTGAGCATGTCTACGGCCCTAGCAGTCCGGACCCTTTGTCTCTGTCTTTTTCAAAACGCAATGAATTCATGCCTTTTTCACGGGTCAGCGTACGGGATAAGTTAGCATTGAGTTTTCTCACGACGATGCAAACCTAGCAATGACCGCGGCTGGTGCGGCCAGCAACGTAAGATAGTGTCGGTTTGTGAAGGACGTGCATAACTTGAAGGGGAGGCACTGCTGCCTTGGCGCCTGCAGTAAAATCACGAAATAGGCAGACACGCGCAAGTATTTGGTGTTTTCAACCGCATGGAGACTGACGTATTGTCATTGGTCAGCCGGCCATGAGTGGTCGATGTTATTATCGATAAACACACACACAAACGTCCCAATGGCTGGGCTCTGATGAAGACGTACTAGTCAAACCCATCTACTGTAACTGCGTAGAACGTCAGACCGCCAACCTATGCTCACCCCTACACCAACTAGAAATTTCTGTGCGTGGTTGGACCGGCATGGATGTTACAATGAGGGCACGGGGGATACAGGGATCGGAACGGTTTTTGATGCGCAGGCAACAACAAGCCCAACAGCAGCGGTAGCATCAGCAGCGGCAGGCAGCTGCTCCTGCATCAACAACAATAATAACAACAACAACATTGGCTATGCGCGTGCACATACCGATACGTAAAACATTCTCTTTCTTTCCCTTGTGTATACATCCCACGATCAGGGCTCTTGACCTGACCCTTGATGCACTGGAGTCCGACCCGGCGAACCGCGGTCTGCTGCGGCTGGTGGGGAGGTTCAACAAGGACAGCGTGCCTCACGTCATTGGCTTCAAGCTGGCCCACTACCGGAACCCATCTGTGGCGAAGTACCACAGGGCCGCCATGCGAAGCGCTGTCAAGCACAAGGTGATTGGCGTACTCGGTCCTAGACACGTGGAATGATACACGGGGCATTGGGTCGTATGGGTGAGGTAGAGTCTGCGGGGCCCCGTCCCCCCGGTGCGTATGGTCTCTTGCTCTCCCTCGATGTATCTGTATGCGTGTCTCTGTCTCTCTATTTCTCTGCCGACCTGTCTCTCAGTCTGTCTCGCTGTCTGTTTCGCTGTCTTGTCTGTCGATCTACCACAAGGCGGGTGGCGTTATTGCCACCGTCGAAGCCTTTGGTTGGTGGCTTGTGTTGTTGCTGGCTCTTCTTCCCAAGTACCCGGGGCTATAGAATAATTTTTCGTTGCAGTTACATTCTGTTGGTTTTGTGGGTGATATTTTGTCGCTGAGCGCTCTTGCTTGCGAAGGCGTTACATGTAGTGTCGTGACTGTGTCGTCATCGTCGTCGCATTATGTTTTCTTACAACGCTGCTAGCGTCGCCGGAAAAGCAGGTGCCATATTCGAGGGAGTGTTTGGATGTGGTACAGCAGCGAGCAAGTAGGCCAAGGCAATGGCACACAAACCAATGATGTCACTATTTCTCAACTTCCCTCTTCAACTTCCCTCTTCAACTGCTTTGTCATTGCTTGCGTTTTTTTGTTGGGTGCTATTCACGTACTCGCACAATACGCATGGCTCAACACTGCTCTGTGCACCTTCTTGTTTTTCGTGTTTTGTTTCAGGAGATTGACGCGGCGAGGTACAAGATTCAAATCGACAAGGTATGTGTGTGACAGACGGACGCGGTAAATGTCCCGATATAGCGCCCGTATGTGCCCAATGGCTTTACCGTCACCCGTCACTATGCCGGACACCGACACTGTTGACAACAGGGATGTTAGGTTGTAGCAGAGGAGTTGCCCCGAGACTTGATCTGCACTATACCGGGGCGCCTACTGCTGTAGAGATCTACCAGATACGCCTGACCGTTCCTTTTCTGTAACTGTGCAACGTTGCGAGTGAGCATCGTGGTGGCTGTCCCTAGCGGGTCGGGTATGGGTTAGGTTTGCTGTCATGTAGGGGTGCTTGTTGCTGCTTTGCTGCTTGGATAGGCCGTTCCTGGGCTATTTGTCTCTCACCAACGGCCGTCGCCGGTTTGCTGACTGCTATTGTTGATCTGATCGATTTTTGGTGCTTTCCGCGAATTCTCCTGCCGCACGTCCTTGTTTTTCCCCTGTGTGTGTGTGGGGGGGGGTATGTAGGTGACTCCTCGATCCCTTTACGTGTTAATCGCGGTGCTGCTTGCGACGGGAACACTGACCATGGACGAGATTCTTCGGCACGTGTCTCCTGGGATCGCCACTCTGGCAGCCAAGGAGAAGTGAGATAATATTTGTAGCTCGTCCTGTGCCAATGCTGCAGCAAGTATGGGGGCCGTCGTGTGGTGTTCGCTCTTGTATTTTCTTAATGTGAAGACGACAATCCGAATGACTCTTTTATTTTCGAAAAGACGGAGTGGTAGTGTTTGCTTGACGTGAATCCAAGCCACGTCATGATGCTGATGGGGTGATTTTCAGTGGACGGGGCTGAATCGTGCCGTATGTAGAGCGGGTGGGATTGCTGGGCACAGACTGAATAACCAAGTCATTGTACACTTTGAATATCGCCGGTCGACCGGTCGACCGGTCGATTCGCCGTTCGTTATTGAGAGGGCTACCTATTGTGCCTGTTTTTGATGGGTAAGGTGTGAGTGGCTGGATGATATTGTCGGGTGGTAAAAATGTGCCCAGGGAAACGTACCAAACCTCCTGGTTATCACACATCAACACTCAATGTTCGGCGCTGTCGTACAATGGTATGGTACCCCATGTACAGAACATTCAATCCGTCTCACATTGTCAATTTATGGTAGCCTCACGTGAATCTGCCTGAAAACGTTTCTGTTGGGCGACACCTCAGGGAATACCTGGCGGATCTCGAGACGAAGATATCGAAGGCAGGAAACAAGGTGCCCAAGCTTGACGCAGATGGAAACATGGACTCGGCCGCTTCATCCGCATCTTCTGACAACGCCATGAGCAAGTAAGACCCGGGGTAGGAGTAGACAGGAAACGGGTGGCGCTAGAGACGAGGGGTGATGGGGAGGATCAGGCAAAAAGACCAAGGGATGGGAGGGAGATAAGTTTGGGGTTGGAGGTAGACACGTCGGTGGATGCGTGGCCTACTGAAGCCGACGCCGACCTTTCTTTCGCATGATTTATTTTAGTCTATGTGTACACGTCGCCCCGGTGGTCTAGTTGGTATCCTCGAAATCTTCTAGAGGTCAAGTCAGGGTTTCGAATCCCGGCGTAAGCGAGCTTTTCTTGCACAGTGAGTTTTGCTCTCGCTTCCACTCCTGGTCTGGTGGATAGCGCTAGTTCGTATGTACACAGAGGGAAGAAAGTGGTGAACTCTTCTCGCGTAAAAAATCGAAGGCAAAGTGCTGCAGGAGGGGCGGGTAGAGAGGGGCCCTTCTGTGTGCCCACGGGTTGAAGTAAACGGCACTGTAATAGTGCTGTGAGCCCTGATTTGAGGTGAAGGCAAAAGAAAAAAAAAACACTGACCTTTCTTTCTCGCATAAATTTTTGTAGTCTTTGTATACACTGACCGTTCTTTCGCATGATCTGTTGAGGCCTATCGACTGACCGTCCTTTCGCACGATCCCGACAACGCTAGGTTGGGCAGCATGGGCCCATTGGCGATGGTCGGCGGCGGGGGCTACGGCGGTGGAATGATGGGGGGGGGTATGGGATCTGGGACCCTGTACGGCGGCAGAGATCGCGACGGCAGGTTAGGCACGCGCTGCTGCCGTACACTTGTCAATGTTGTCCCGATGTAGTACGCACTATTGAGGATGGAGCCGCGCATACGGATAAGATTGAGGCACGCATGAGTCACCTTGCTGTATGTTTCGCTCGTCGTGTGGTAGCCGCGGTTTCTTCGCGGACTAGACAACATGAGGTCCGGGGGCGCTTTTGTGTACGTCAAAGCTCGCGTTGGTGCTTGTTTTCCATGTGCCACGCTTGGTATGCGTTGATCGGATCGCTGCTATGCTGTACCGTGTGGTATGCTACTGCGAGTACACTGCGACTGCGGTGCGTCTTTTCTCGAAGACGGTTGGATGGTACTTGTTCACGGTGTAGTGAGCGCTTTTTGGTGTTTTCGTGTGTCGTTCTTGCGTGAAGTGCACTCCAAGAGACGGAATGTATCGCCCTCGATTCGTCCAAGGATCGAAGGGCAGCTCCCCCGAGGAGCTACTGTCCGCGTTCCCCCCTGCTGGTTACACCCAACGACCCAGCGAAATGCGCACTCGAAGACGTTGAGCGTTAGTGGCACAACAGAAGCACGTTAAGAGGCCAGCCGTGGCGCGAACGATGGTGAGACAGTGCGATTGTGCCTTGTGGTATATATGATGCGGTTCACATTATTGGCCGTTCCGTTTTTGTGCGCTTGATTTATCGGAACGGCAGAAACGGAGGTATGGGTGGCGGACACGGTGGTTCCAGCGCCAGAGATCGCGACGGCAGGAGGGACGGCAGGGACAGCAGGGACAGCAGAGAAAGTGGGCGGCGTCAAAGCGCAGACAACAGGTCGGGCGTTGTGGCTGTTGTTTGTGATGGGTGCCGAGCAATGTAGTGTAGTGTTGCCCCCGTAGACCTAGCGGCACATGGGGTGATGATCACCCATCGTCTCTAGCGGCGACCTAGTTACATACGTCGACAGCGGTGTTGATTGGCATCGTGCGTCACGCTAGTAATAGCGTGCTTCATTTTTCGACTTGGGTCTTGTTTTCTTGTCAACCCCGGGTGTTGGTTTCTCCAGCGCGGGTGTTAAGGCTAACGGGAGCGCGGTGGCGGCGGGTGGTGCAGGAGATGGAGGGGTTGATGACGACAGCGTTCCTTCTGGTGCGGACAACCAGCTTTATGGGGTCCTGGAAGCTCTACTAGACCTCAGGTATTTTTTCTGTTGTGGGTGATGTTGGTTTGTTACGTCGGCCTGACGTATGTCTATCGTATGTTGTGACGCTTCTATCGTGGCATGCGTCACCTATCCTACAGCCTCGTGTTGATTGTTCTGGTTCTTTGAGCTTCCCTTTGGTATTTCACACTGTATGGATATTTTGTAGCTGGGTGCAGTGGCCTCGGAAGGCATGCGCCTCGGTTGTGCCAGGATGGATGTTGTAGGGTACAAAGCAGAGATTGGTAGGGCGGTGATAAATGTATGTTGTGCCCGCAACATCATTGGCAACAATGACAATCCTTCGGTCGATCGTCAGGGCGTGGACATTGGCTAGCGGGCTGCTGGCTAGCCTGACCAAGCAGGGTATCGATCCGTTGAGGGACTACGGGGTGCGGGAAGCATTCAAGAGGCTCGTGAAGGACAGCATTGACGGCCTGGCAAGCCGCTACCCGAAGCCAATCGCGGTGAGCTGCGTGATGACGTCACCAATGTGCTGTGGATTGCGGCACCACTTCTCACACAAGACTGCTGTGCATGTATTTCCACGAGTCCTGATGGAGCTCAACGCTGCTACCGCATTCTCTTTTGTTGGCACCCAGGGTGCCATATTCCCGAGATACGGCGGACGGCGGCGGCCAAACCTCAACACGTTTTTTTTTTTGTTAAATTGCAATCGAATCGATCGTTCCGTCCCGTTCGTTTCAGCTATACTCAGCCGGGACAAAAAGGGGGCCCACCGCCACCGTGACAGCAGCGGCAGGCGTCCCATCGTCTCCTGTGCCCTCGCTGTCCGTATCAGTGTCTGGGATGGCTTCCGACGCAGAGGAAGCGGAGGCCGGCGAGGTTACGCTACCGGTAGGCGCTAGCTACAGAAGTGTCCAGGTAGAAGCATAGCCGTTGTCACCCCAGAATGTGTACGGTGATGAGTTCAGGGCCCCGAAGAACGGCGATGTTTCTGGGGGAGCATTCGGGTCTCTTCCAAAACGCCAAACGCTGTAGTTGCGGGCCAACACAGCGTTTGTGATGGAGGTTTTACTGCGTGTTTTCTCTTGTCTGTTATTTGTTTTCGAACGCGGTGTACCCTGTTGGGGTAATTGTTGGTCTTTGCCCACGGAAGGCCTCCGCATCAGTTGGACCGATGTTACGAGCAACTGCAGTAACAAGGAGCACGGACAGGAACGGTTTTAACGTTGACACAACAAAACCACCAGAAACCGAGCCCGAAACCGAAACCGAACCCATCAACCTTACAGATCACGTCGAAGACTGCCGTCTCCCGCAGCACCATGGCGAACGGCATGACCCTGCCCCCGACGCTCAAGAGTCCGCCGGCGAGTATTCTGAAGGACTTGAAGGACTTGCAGCGATTGCCGGGGTACGGTACCGGGTTCGTGAAGCCGGAAACCCTTTCGGAGGCGGTGGGAGTGCTGGCACCGCTCTTGAAGATCGTGGGGCCGTATCTGGGCCGAGATCCGACCATGTTTGCGAGGGTGAGATATATGTACATATAATGTGCAATAATATCGGGATTGGTTGCTTGGTGTTTTGGTGCCGCCCTCTTGCGTTAATTTACTTGAGTGACCTAAGTGAAGCGTCAAGCTTATTCGCTCCGAACGGTGTTTTATTGACGCTTATGAATGGAATCAATGGAATATACTAGATAGCTGGGAAGAAAACACATACACAAGACATGTGCTGTCAAACGTGAATTAAACGTGGATGGGGCTTGCCGTAAGTATATTAATTTTCATTTTGAGTCATGGTACATACAGTTGCTGTCAAGGCTAGCTAGACACACCCATGTTCCCCTGTCGACGTTTTTGGTATTTTGTACTTGAGCAACAAATCATGAACACATGACGGCTGTCGCAGTGCGGACGCGTGATGGGTGCTCGGAATGATGTTGATCACCGAGATCGACGGCAGCGGTAGCGCAACCGTTCCTGCGTGTTTGGTGTGCTGCCGTTTGGGTGTCGAGAGTGACGGATGACTCGGACCTCGTTCGTAGCATGATGAGACGACAAGGATGGGTGTATGTTATTCGGTTACTCATGTTATACTGTACGGGTAACCGTGTCACATTGTCCGGTTAACCGTACCTGGCGACGATGACCCTCCCCACCCACCCCCGATTATGCAGGTATGCCGCGTGCTCGCTGCTGTGAACTCACGGAACCCTCTAAACATCGTCGTGAAGACCAGCACGAGCAGACGCAGCAGCGGCACCAGCACGAGCGCGGCTGCCAAGCTCGCTGCCACAAAAGCTTCCGCTGTTGCCGCCGCTGCCGCCGCCGCCGCTAGCAGTGGGGGCGGACAAGGCAAAAACGCCGAAGCCAACGGCGGAAGCACCGGCAGCGGAAGCACCGGCAGCGGAAGCACCTCTACCACCAACCCTGCGGCGGCGGAGGCGGCGGCTGCCGCTGCTACCAAAGTTCCGGTGGGCGCGAAGGAGGCCACTGCGAAAGATCCGTTGAAGGCGTTCCACTCACTGTTCGGGCTCTCTCCCGCGGAAGCGAAGGAGCTGCACAGACGTGGGGAGGCGGAAGGGGGCGCGGGGGCGGGCGAGGCGGCGCTGAAGAACGAGTTGGACAAAAGAAAGGCGGCGTACGTGAGGGTGGTGTTGACCATCGCACCGTCTTTGGGGATGACTCACGCTAATCCGGGAATGCAGCAAGAGGTAAAGGGATTTGATGGAGACACACGTCCTCGACGATGTGTGTGGCTCTTTTAGGGATGAGGCAAGAGGTGCTTGAGGCTGTTGAGGCAACAGAAGTCGCCGGTTTTGTGGCTCTTTTAGGGATGAGGCAAGAGGTGCTTGAGGCTGTTGAGGCAACAGAAGTCGCCGGTTTTGTGGCTCTTTTAGGGATGCAGCAAGAGGTGCATAGGGGTTTTTGTCAAGACACAAGCCGACGCGGTAATGCATATGAGATGGTATAGTTTTGGACGTAGGCAAGAGGGTCGACGTCCTTCTCTTCGTCATCCACACATGTCTATTTGTTCCCGCTGCCTCCGCCCTTGAGCAGTCTCCACGAAGGAAGGCAAGGCCAGCGGTCATAAGCTCCCCACGGTCCTTTTCCCCCCCCAAGAATTAGGCATGGTGTTCCCGCACCAACGATAGGATTGCGTGGTCGGCTGGTCATCAGTACGTGTGTTGGTTGCGATGGTGTGCTCGGAACTCTTCGGGCACAAGCATCGGAATACATGCAGTGTTTTTCCTTTTTTTCACCCTCTTGAGGGCATTTCCCCGCGCCGCCCGTATCCCTACGAAAGGTTTGGAACATGCTGGCCGAGCTGCCTTACGTGGACCGTTTCATGCTGTACGGAGCCTGGAGGGGGCACGGCATGGAGAAGAATGCCCTAGGTGTAAAGCACCCGCAGTATGCCGTTGCAGAGGTAAGGATGTCTTACTTTTTCCCTCCGGTGGAAATGGTAAAGCAACGGTGGGAGGCGGCTCCTTGACCCTTGAAGATGCGGCGCAACCAACAAAACAAGTTTTATGTTGGTTTTGCTGTGGAAACAAAAATTGTTACCGTAGACCGCCCAATCAATATTCGATATGGCCAATAAACAAGCGAGAGGTGCGGAGGGATGTTGATCCGTGCATGCACCCCGAGACCCCCGTCTAGTCTAGTTCGTCCTACGTAGGATGGGATGGGATAGGATAGTGCTTTCTATTTGTGATCATGCGGACGGCATCTTGGTGGTACAAGTAGTGTAGTTTGCTGGTAATGCCATGTGTACGCATTTCAAGTTGGCTGGTTGCGTACGTGCTACTCCTGTGTATCGATTGCGAGTTTGGTTTTCAGATGAGCAACGTGTATGACCTTGACACTGCAGGGATCACTCTACCTCTGCTGTATATGTGCTTCATAAGAACCAACACCCAAGAGCAGCAGCAGCAGCAGCAGCAGCAGCAGCAGCAGCAGCAGCAGCAGCGGCATCGGCGGCACAATTCCATCTACAACAAATCACCAATAATATGATTGTTCCTGCTGACGGTGCAGATTGCGGCGGGGGCGGAGATCTCGCGGCTGATCAAGATGCTCACCTCGGACAACGTTAAGGACATGGCCCGCAAGCTCGGCAAGTCCTCCCACTCCCACCCTCTCCTCTTCGCGGAAAAGGCCCTCAACCAGCTCGAGAGGTTAGTCCCGACCCACGCATACGTGCTCGTCTTGTATTCCAATCGAAGCCTAAACCGCTGACGGATTTCACACGTTGATTCTCTCCATGTATCATGGGGAGGGTATGTCTATCGTGTGTCTATCGTGCACACTGTCATATTCACCAAGTGGAAGAAGAGAAGACACAGACGTAGCCCTAAGTAACCGCGGGGCGAGGTTGTTGCAATGGGTGCCATGTTGCGGTTGTGCTGTCTGTTCCTGTAGCTATCGCAACGGCGGCTTGAGTTGCAGTTGCGCGTCAATTGCTGTCTGTTCTGCTGTCGTCTAGACTGGCTCGATTCGCCGCTGGATGTCAATTCCCTGTGGTGTGTCACGATGTTTTTCTGTTCCCTTCTTGTTTCGTTTTGTCTTTGGTTAATCTCGTTCTGAATCCAGCTACGACAACTTCATCTCGATGGTGGCGGACAGCATGAGGTTTGTTGGGAAAACTTTGGGGCTGGACTGCATGGCGTACACCATGGTGCAGCATCTCTGTCAGAGCAACCGGTCATTCGTCAGCGACAGTGGCCTCGACTTGGAGAGGCGAGTTTCACCCCACCTCCGCGGCTGCTGCTGCTGACTTTGATGATGCTGCTTTAGCCACAACCTGGCGCTTAGGAGTGTTGTGGCTTTGTTGATGTTGCTGTTGCTGTTGCTGTTGCTGTTGCTGTTGCTATTTTTGTTGTTGTTTAGGAGGGGGTGGTGGCTGCGGTTGATGTGTGAGGTGTGCCCACCGTCCATCTTACTGCTGCCATGGTCATTTTTCCTGCGTGGAAGTACTGGTGCCGACTTAATGAGAGCTCTTCAACCTATGAACTGTGTTGCCCATTAATGAAACACGTGTAAGATCTGAATTCATTTGTTTGTGGTGCACCACTTCCGCCTATTGTCTAGTTGTTTCGTATGTTGAGCATTCGTTCGACGACGTTACATGGTGTCGTTTTTGCGACGCAATTGTGGTGCTATGATTACTCGAGCACCGACGTCTCGTGCTTACAATAATGACCAGGTGGGTTTCCAACCTGTCGACGTTTGCCGGGCTGCTCCACCGCAAGAATCCGGAGACGGACAGCAAGCCTCTCCTCTCATGGGCAGTGAGATCCCTTGGGGAGGGGGGAGAGCCGGCTATGGCCGCGGGCAAGGTGTGTGTGTGTGTGTGTGTGTGTGTGTGTGTGTTTTTTGCGGGTGTGCTTTCTTGAGCGTGATGCCTAGGGTAAGGGTAAGGGGTTGGCGTTTTTCGGGAGTGCCACGTGCCGTGTACGATGTGCATGTGTGTGCAATCTTCGTGTCTACGTTGTAGGTGCGAGTATCTTCTGGAATATGGTAGAATGAATATTCTCTCAATTGTTGAGTGGAGAGCGCACATGTATTACATTGTCGTGAGTACACACATCAAAGAGCGGAGGGAAGAAACAACTCAATCCTTCTTGCCGTAAAAGTCGAAGGCAAGCCAAGCACTGCAGAAGGAAAGGCGGAGAAGAAGAACTCCAGAGGCGGTATGCATACCCGTACCTCCTGTGTGACCCCGGCGGCTGGTGCGTCAAGCGCCTCGGAAGGGTGTATAGAGTGTAGAGTGTAGAGTGAGAGGCGACCACAGTGCATGGGACAAAAATGAAAATACAGACGTTGGATATCTCGACCTCTCTTCCTCCCTCGTGTGGAAGAGCTGCACTTCAAATTCAGCCGAGCTCGGGGGGGAGGGGGGAGAGGGTCCCTGCAGGCAGTTTCGCACTCGATGTACTGTAGGGCGCATGACTGCCTGCGGGGACCCCCCCCTCCCTCCGATCTGGGCTGAACTTTCAGTCCACCTTTTCCGTACAGGAAGGAAGGGAGGTCGAGATACCCAACGTCGTTTCGTCTTTTCATCACTTCTGTTCTGGCGCCGCGCCGCTCGGAATGCGTTTGACGCGCTAACTACCCGGGTCGCACAAGAGGGACGGGTGAACACGTGACATGCACAACACCTCGGGAATTTTTCTTCTCCGTGTTTCCTTCGCGCGGTGCCTTCAACTTTCAAAGGCGATTATGTGGCCGGGGGACGTCGGTAGTATCGTAGCTGGGAAGCGAGATAGGTACCGTGTGACAGCGTCAGAGTGAGAGTTGGTATTAGCGGCGATGATGATGAGCAAGTTGGTGGAAGAACTCCCCCACCACAAGACCCAAGACTTGTGGACGATACAATCGCCTTATTAACGGGTCCCGCAACCCTTCAGGCCCCCCGTGAGATGTTGCGTGTGGCAGCTTCAGAGTGGGATTGATGGTGACCATGACCATGACCATGACCATGACCATGACCATGACCATGATGGTGGACCAACGCCCACACCACAAGACTTTTGAAGGCTACAGTCGCCTTGTTTACGATCCCACGACCAATCAGGTCCTCCGCGAGGTGTTGCACAAGGCCGGAGGCGTGCAGGTGTTGGACGGCTGGAGTATCACGCAGGCTCAGGTGGACGGAAAGGGCGGCGGCGACGTCTTGAGGCAGGAAAACGCTTCATTCGGGTCTACGGTCAAGCCCATCAAGAGGGCCAAGATCATCCTCCAGGTGCTCGCCCTATTCTTACACCCTATCCCTAACCTAAATAGCGCTGCGGAACACTGGGCTATCCAGTACAAGACAATCCCATCCAAGCGCGTTCTGCATGTGAAGCACGCGTGTACCGCAAGTAGCTCTTGTACTGGTTTGTCGAGGACAACATTGACCTTTTTGGTGAAATCCATCGAGTGGGCCGAGCACCATCCTGCACGCTAGACTACCCCAGTGTCCTCTCGACGACAGCTAGCACATATCGAACTCTACGCGGAAACACCATGACGCGGGCGTTGCTGCGATACTTGGCGGCTCGCATGGAAACACTGCACTGCTGTCGCAGGGCAGGCGACGGCCCTTTTCTTGTCTCACCCTGTCAGTGCACACGAAGGGCAACATACACCCCCCGGCTACCGTTGGAGGTAGTTCCCGCATACACATTGGATCGAGGTTGAGCCGCTTGTTAGAAGGGCTTACCCATGAGACTAGTCAGTCAGCAGTCCGCGGTGACGGGGTAGTCTATTGGGTTAAGCCTTATTGATGTACTCTCGGCTCGTAGCCTCCCAGCTGGATCACAGCAGTGATTTGTGAGTAGTTATGTCCGGGGACCGACGCCTCGCCGGACGCTGCCGGAAATGTACAAATGATTCAACAACAACAACAACAACAACAACAACAACAGCAACAACAACGTGGCTGAATCGTCTGGTGAACATGATCGTCATCGTCATCGTCATCGTCATCGCAGGAGGCGACAGAGAAGGCGGGAGCGTCGCTGCCGTTGCTGGTTCTCCCCGCCCTCCAGGCTGGCTCTTTGCTGTACGAAGGCGGATCTCTCGAAGACCAGATGAGGGGCAAACCGCAGCCTCACCTCAAGGTCAGCCGCCGGCTTTCGTATCAATTCGAGTTCTCCATTGTTGGTGTATTTTCGTGCGTAGATTCGGTTCATTCGCAGGTCGACGGATTTACTAAGCAGCTAGGTTTGACATCTCGAACACGTTATGCGGACTTTTGCCTTTCTCCCCAGCCTCTTCTTGGTCTAGTCGCGGTTGTCGTGAATGTACAGTATACCTTGTTTTTGGCTCGGGTCTCTCGTTGTCCCGGTAGGCCTTGCTGTGTACCCTTTTGTGGCCCCACGATCGTGTTTCCTTTCCGGCTGGCATGGGCTCTCCATCTTCAACGCCTTGGCGAGGACGGAGTGAGGATCGATGTCGCTGCCATGCGTATGGTGGAGAGTTGAGGGTATTTCGTATGTTTCGGCTCTCAGCGGCACGATAAAGCGCTTGGCCTTTCGAATGCATGCCCTGACTTGGGCAGGGGCACAGCGGCAGCAGCATCGGCATCACAGGCCCCGCATCTCCTACTTGTGGGTCTTTTGTTGACGGTTCGTTTCCGGTATTCGGGGTCTTGCTGATGTAAGAGTTGTCCAAGCGTCACACCGTGCAGAGTTGGTACCATTCGAATGCAACACTTGATATTACCGTACTGTCGGCCCATGCTGTGCTGATCTCTGGCGTACGTACGTGGATGCGTTGTGCTACGTAAACAGGTGCTGGGTCATCGCGCCGATGAGACCCACACGACGCTGCTGCAGGCCATGGAGTTCGTGTGTTCTAAGGCTTGGATCAAATCGAAGTGTCCCACCATCAAAACTCTGGTATGACGAGGGGGGAACGAGGCATATATAGGAACCTACGGCGGTACAGACAACCCTGCATGGTTGCACGACTAGTCGCTCACATTATGAAATTTGTGGGTTCTGAGGCATGGGTCAGAGCCACGTTTCTCAAGACCCTGTTAGCACGAGGGGGGAGAGGTAGCTATCAAATTTCAGCAGCATCGGCAACGCTACAATGTTCGGATGAGTAGTAGCCAGCATCAGGATACCGTGTGTCCGATAGCATGGATAAGAACAAAGTTGAAGCGGTAGATGGCAACCTACGCCAGCATGATTCCGTTGCAACCGCGTGGGCTCGTTGTGATGTTTCAGCCGGCGTTGCTCTTGTTGTTGCTGTTGCTATTGCTGATGCTGTTGCAGCTGACGACGTACGGGCTGGAGCCGAGGGTGGTATTCCATATCTGGCGTCCTGTGATCAACGAAAACCTCATCAAGTGCTGGTTCCCCAAGGCTGGCACCAAGGTAGAAGTATGTTCTGCACTCTACTGTACCCTCTCGTGTGTTGGTTCATTTGATGTCATCTTAGTTGCTGTTGGGGGGGCGTACTCTTATGTTTTGCATGCCTTAGCCGTTACACCATGGACCACGCGTCCTCGAGAGGACGGAGTATTGTTCCCACAGGACCAATCACCGATGGCCAATCGTTCCTTTCTACTTTGCCAAAGGTGGCTCAATAATGTCTTCCCTAGTCTGACTATCCTAACGATATCCCTTCCCGCCTTTTCAACCCACCTCCTATGCCCCAGTACAGCTACCGTCCTTTCCACTCTATTCCATGCCTCAAACATGTCCCTGTACGCCCCATCTATTTTTCCCATCTCAGTCACGTACACTTGCCTCTCCTTCTTGTACCACGGACATTCCGCGACTACATGAACACGGTCTTCGCATTCGAAGCCGCAGTCAAATTTGAACTCGTCGTGTTCGTCGTCTACCGTCCTATGTCTTCGTCGACGTTCTCGAAGGCCTATGTCCCCGGTCCTGAATTTGACCTTAAGCTTTGTTCCTGCATCCATTGGTCCATGTAGGTAGTCCTTGAACCCTATTCCTTCCTTCAACATTCCGTACACTTCTAGATTCTCCTTGTCCTTGGATTATTTCCTCAGATTCTGTTCTTCTCTCTCGGCACAAGCAACAGATATCTTCTCCTTGAACCCCTGTAGACCCTCCGTTTCCAGCGTTTCATCTTCGTCGATGTCGAGCCCCTTCCATACGTCCTCTACAACCTTGACCCATTCCGTGGGTTGTCTACCCCGCTTTTTGTTTGCTGACTTCGCCTCCCATACAAATCTCGGCAACCTCTCCTCTCTCATCCCGCACATGCGATACTGCCATGCCAGCTTCCTCGCGTCTCTTCCCGACCTTGCTGTGGGGGGTGGAGGTGTTGGTCCACTACATTGATTCATCTGTGTTGGTCCACTACATTGATTCATCTGTGTTGGTCCACTACATTGATTCATCTGTGTTGGCACTTGACGCGCTGCAGACGCCGCGCCCTCCCCCAAGCACGTGGCATGATGCCCTCTTGCACACTCTGCTGCTTGACACACGTGACATGGCGTGACATGGCATATTGCTTCGCTGCAGACGGAGAGAGAGCAGCGGGATGAGGCGATAGCTAAGAGGTTCATTGGAGAGCTGGAGGCATCCATCACGGAGCTATCGATTGTCCCAGAGCATAGCCCTCTCACGGCTAAGCTTGTCCTCATCTTCTGGGCGCTTTCACTGTGAGCAAGGCTGACATCCACCCGGGATTCGTTTTCAGTTGCTTTTTTCCCACACCGAAAGAGCAACTTACAAACACTTGATGAACGATGCGCGATGTTACTGTGAGCCAGGCAGCGATAATTCGTTTGTTTCCTCGGAGCTGTTGCGCTGGAGTGACGCCATGGTAGACGTAGGGCTAGCTAGTACCATGGCACATTCGGCGTTGTTCGGGCGAGTGCCCAGCCGATGTATTTCAAAATGATTTGCGAATTTTCAAATTTCGCTTGTAGGGTACCCTTCATCTATACCTGCAATGATAGCCCATCGGAGGACTTTTCGCGTCGTACGTAATTTGTTTTTGTATCAGCGTCCATTGTAGACTCTAGACTGAATTGTCACCTTATGTGCACCCCTATTAGCAGTACCGTGGCATGACTCTAAATCAGTCGGGTCTTGTTTTTCCGTCCCCCGCTGCCCCCCCCCCCCCCCCCCCCCCCCCCCCCCCCCCCCCCCCCCC